TTTCACCGTGTTGACCAGGATGGTCTCGATCTCTTGACCTCGTGATCCACCCGCCTCGGCCTCCCAAAGTGCTGGGATTACAGGCTTGAGCCACTGCGCCCGGCCTTGTTACAATTCTTTTTAAACCAAGCATATTAAGACCGTTTTCTTTCCTAGGGCTTAAATATGTATTTCCCACCTTACTTTCCTGTTCCATCTACTTATACTGTTGTTAAATAAATGTTAGTCATTTAAATAAGTTTCCCTTCTTTTTCTCTTAATTAGAAGAGAGGGAAAACCATGCTCAGATCAAATAGGAATGTCTGTTTACACTTTTGTAATCAGTCACTTTATTATGTTAATTCTAGTTCTACCTATGTTACAATTTTAATAGAATTTTTCAAGAGTCTCCAGGTAGGATATCATTAAAACTGCTAATTTAATCCTCTTAAAATATTTGCCAGGCAAGGTACTTCTACAGTTTCTGTCATGTATTCCAATCCTAAGTATCTAAATTTTTATTATGACCAAATTTTATTATGACCAATAATGATATTTCCCTATTGTGTTAATGGTAAAATGTTCCTGTTTGTAGCATGTATGTATGTGTGTATGTGTGTGTGTGTGTGTGTGTATTTTTTTTTCCTAACCTTATAATACTTTTAGAAGTTATCCTAAAATCCAACTTGATATTCATATGATAAACAGAATTCAGAAATTAAGAATTTCAAAAGGGGCCGGGCGTGGTGGCTCACACCTGTAATGCCAGCGCTTTGGGAGGCCAAGGCAGGTGGATCACTTGAGGCCAAGAGTTTGAGACCAGCCTGGACAACATAGTGAAACCCTATCTCCACTAAAAAAAAAATTAGCCAGGTATGGTGGCGTGCACCTGTAGTCTCCTGAGGCAGGAGAATTGCTCAAACCTGGGAGGTGGAGGTTGCAGTGAGCCGAGATCACACCACTGCGCTCCAGCCTCAGCAACAGAGTGAAACTCTTGACTCAAAAAAAATATTTAAAAAGGAATTAGATTATTTTACGTGTATCTTTTTTCCATGTAAAATGGAACAATGATTAGCTGTTTTCAAAAAAACAATGCATTTAAATTATAGTACAAAACACTTTTTAAAGTATGTAGAGGCTAGAAGCATGGTATACAGTATTTGCCATTTTAATTATAAGTCACCTCTTAAATATATTTGTTTCCTAGTCATTAGTGCTTAAGAAAAAAATGCTTCCCAATTAAAATTTATGCTACTTTAGGATAAACAACAAATTTTTTTCAATTGATGTTAACTTTAGTTATTTTTTATAATTTCTACCTTTTTGTATAAAACAGAAAATGACAGAACTGTGTTCAGGTGACTTATGCTTATAGTAAAAGTTACCCTCTCTTCTTGTATTTCATTCACCTTTTAAAGATAAAGTTGCAAGTCTAGAAATTGTCTTCTTTCTAATTTTATCTCATACTAACAAAAAGGTTTGTAAAGGAGAAAAAATAGATTTGGCAGTTAATTAAAAATAAAAGGATGGTAACACAGTACACAAATGATCAAAAGGAAGAGGAATGAGGAAATTCATATCTTTACATCTGAAAAGCACTCTTGCTTTAGAGATTATTTTTCTGTTATAGCAGCTACCATAAGAACGGAGGTTCAAAAATATAATGGTCAGCCCTCTGATACACTTACATTAAATGATCTGTGGTTCAAAATTTCCAGCATTTTTGTAATGGAATGTAACTTATGTGATTTTGACTTTTAGCCCTTTCCATATATACATCAGTCACTGTTCCATTGCTATTGATACATCTTCTACCTTCTAATACGGAATTCTTGAAGAGATTTGCAGGAGGTGGAGAGAAATGCACACTCCCAAATGGCTTAAGTTTAAAATGTATGTCTTAATGATAGAAAAGAATCATATCTCTGGAGTTGCTAGATGTTCTTATATTTCTATTATTTCAAAAATATATGTTTGAAAAAATTAATGTTTCACAGTTAAACTAAGTACATGTTCACTTTAAGAAATTTTGTTGTGAAAGCCAGAAAAAAATCCTCTGAAATTTCACTAACTATAAGCAGCTTACCATATTTCGTCTTTTGGGGTTGTGTTTTTTCTTTGTTTGTTTGTTTTGGAGACAGAGTCTCACTTTGTCACCCAGGCTGGAGCTCAATAAAAGTATCTTGGCTCACTGCAACCTCCACCTCCCAGGTTTAAGCGATTCCCGTGCCTCAGCCTACCTAAGTAGCTGGGACTACAGGCATTCACCACTATGCCCAGCTATTTTTTGTATTTTAATAGAAGCTGGGTTTTGCCACTTTGGCCAAGCTGGTCTTGTCCTGACTCCAAGTGATTTGTCTGCCTTGGCTTCCCAAAGTGTTGGGATTACAGGCATTAGCCACCATGCCTGGCCCCAAAATCTAATTTAAAAAAATTGTTTTAAACTTACCAAAGGCGCCTATTCATGCTATCCCTTCTAGCTTAAAAAAGAAAGTTTCAGATTCCATTTTTAGAGTTGGGAAACATCATATAAATTCTCCTGAAGTTATCACCTTCTTACCAGCCAAAGATTTAAAAAAAAAAAAATGTATGGACAGACTCTACTAATTCAGAATGTCTGATAATTCAGATAATGGCTATGCTAAAGTCTCTACTGCTAATAAAAATATCTTCTTTGGCAATTTTAAAGTATTAACAAGACATGTTTTTAAAAAAAGTATGCTTTTGCATTGAGTAATTTAGATTCCTGGTTGGAGTATGTGGGCTTTCATAAAATGTAATGATAGCAGGATATCCTAATGAGTCATATTTTTATGTTAATTCCCAAATAAAACTTTACATATTAAAGATTATAAGGTATCATCTGCCAGCATAGAAAGCAAAGTTGTTTCATTGTAACTTTCAAATGAAATTTAGAAATTTGACTGAAAACAATTTTTTTCTCTTCCTAGGAAACATTATTTGCCTGTTCTAGGGTAATTAAATGTTTATTCCACTAACCTTTGAAAGCAACCTCTTGCCGTAGAAGTGAGACTTTAGCAACTATGGTTCAAGTGTACCTTTTACATCTTCAGGAAGTGAGGTTGACTTAACCATCATATTTAGCTCTCTTCCTGAGAAAGCAATCCGATCACTTTGTTTATTATCAACTATGAAAAAATAGTGGAGTGCCCTTTCCCCAGGCACAGATTGAAACTAGGATAGCTCTGATGCCGTAAGTTGTTAAAGTTAGTTGCTGCTCATCACTACCACCTGCTGGTTGTTCCAGAAGCCTAGCTGGAGATAATTTTAAAAGAGCAGTGTCACTGAGTCAGTTGGAGTTTCACTAGTTTGCCTAGTTGCTAGCAACAGTATAGAGCTTAAGAGTTCCATCTTCTAACCAAAATGCTGTTGAACTGTGCCATTCTGAGTGTGACGGTGAATAATTCAGCCATATATATCTAATACCTCTTGCGGTTTAGGGAAGAATAAGCTTTATAGGGAAGAAAAATCATATTTCCTTATTTTCTGAGCACTCCAGTTTACTCAGCATTGTAGTAATACTAGTGCTGCTTTGTATTTTCTAGGACGGTACTTTCCAACCTTTTTCACATCATGGTACACAGAGAAAATTATGAAATCTGTCACAGCATACTAGGCAAGCAGATGAAGCTGCTCTTATCCAAATAAGACTGCCAAGGAGCTCCAGCTATTCCAGACCCAGTCCAGCTATCCTTCAGGCTGAGGGGATTAATATCTAGGCACATCTGTTCTCAGGACGTTGATTGGAATCCTCAGCTAAACTACAGAAATCTACAGTGTGCTCTGAGCCTTGAGAGTTTAGACTGGCATATATGAGTTAATTATAAGCATATTATAGTTAATTTAGAAGCATACTTGGGTGAGTTAGAAAAAGATGTTGACATTGAATGTCTCTAGAAACTCTAAGGCTCTTACAGGAAGTAGTTTTGAGTTTAAGGTCTATAATTAAAAAAATGTAAAACTTTGGTGACAAGGTAAAGTCCATTGAACAAGAAAAAATCAAGAAGTGGAAGATCAAAAGGAGTATAGTCAGAAGAAGGGGCACTTATTTAATTTAATGAAATCAGACTTGGGGACAACTAGAGTTTGGCATATATTTTGCAAAATAAGTGTTCTGAGGTTTATGATATCTTAGAGTTGGAGTCAGAGTTAGTCTTAATGTGGCTGCTTCCTAGAAATACATTCTAATCCTAGACTTATTTAAGATTTTCACTCCTAAACTCGTGTATTCGGTAGGGTTGGCCATTGCTAGAATGTAAATTAAGTGTCCCTTATGAAAATTTGTAACTGATAGAACACTATATTTACTATATTTGATTTCTAATTAGTAGTTATTCTTCAATGCAGCAAACTCAAATTTAGAATTTAGAAATGGCACAGAGACTCACCCTTCTAAGAGTTGTTATTTTCTAAAATATAAAAGTAGTAGAGAAGTACTTTAATATATAACAGTAGCTCCTATAAACTCTCAGTTGAATCCAGTCACTATTAGAATTTATACTTAACTGTGAAGTTTAAAGAAATCAACCTCATGTGTTTAAAGGGAGTATAAATTCATTTATGGTGATAAAACATTATAAACAATGTCTATTTTTACTTTATTGTCATGTACATGTATTTTCTTTTCAGAACACAGCAAATGAGCATAGCTTACAAACGCAACACTCTACCTTAAAAATGGGATATAATTAGAGGATAATAATGTCAGACCTCCTGTCCAGAAAGCTCTTAGATAAAGGAACTCCCCTCAGAGTCAAGCCCAGCTACTTTAATGTAGCCAGAGATGCTTATTTTCAACTTTTCAATTTAAAATAAAGCAGAATTTAAAAGTGAACTTGTGTTACATCCTGTTGGTGCTTTAGAGTAATTGACTATTTCATATTAATTGGTATCGGTAAGAATAGCATTTCTGCTGGGTATTAACATATCCATTTATTATTCTCTCATCTGTGATCATATACATGTTGTTTATTTAAGCCCCCATATTTTTGTCTCCTTTCTCATCTCTTTCATTAATGAGTTACTGTTTTCTGGTATTTTTGAAAGCAGTTATCCAATTATAAAAGTTTTCAACAATTTTTCCATTTTGAGCTAAGTGCATCTCTTTCTAGAATGAGTCTGTGAACTTCTTTTAGAATTCCCTTAAGAGGAAATTATTATCCATTTAAAATTCTGTAGTATAGTTGACAATCTCAACTTCTTAAATCAATTATTACCCTTCATTATAATGAAACTTCTTTAGTGTAAAGTTAGATTCTCAGTTAATAATATATATCCCTTCTTCAGTTTAAGGTAGTGATGATGAACACAAGTGCTCTTCAGGTAGTCATTACTGTTACCTTACTCTTTAAGCTGTAATCTTTCATCCATTCAATCTTTAAAACTACTAGATGAGTTAAAATCCAACTGACTCTGAAAAAAAAAACCTTCCCTTTTTTAAATCCATCATCTTGTGATGATTCTCCTGCTTTTCATGTTTAAGTTCTTAACTAATTTCAATTTGTTGGTACCTTGGTGGTATAGGCAAATATTCCTGTTGAAGTTAGTATTAAGACCAAAATTATAATGCTTTTCTTAATGGGGGAACCCTAAGGCTACTCACTCAGTCCATTGAGGGGATAAGAGAGATGGCTCATTCCCATCCAGTTTTGTTTACAAACGATGTTGCTCAAATTTAGGTGACTGGCTACTAGGGAAATAAATGAATGTGGAATTGAGGATGGAACAAAGAATTCAATGCTTTACAATAAATGGACTGTATTTGAGAGTTCAAGAGAGGATTGGAGAAAATAACTGAGTATGTAAAAAATGGTAAGTTTCTGATTGTTCAGTTGAAGGCAAGTGGCTGGCTCGATGAAATGACATAACTGATAGTTTTCATCTGTGACCCTGATGTCTTAGCCTCTATCTCAGAATTGAGAAATGAGCAGAGTTTATCAGAAAGGATTTTCATTGCTGGTATCTTTTGTGTGTGCATGATGTGTAGTACACACAGCTCTCCTTATTGATCCTTCACAGGTGTATTATTTACTTTGCCTTCCAGGTGTCCGCAAATATGGTAAAGATTTTCAAGCTATTGCAGATGTAATTGGCAACAAGACTGTTGGCCAAGTGAAGAACTTCTTTGTAAACTACAGGCGTCGGTTTAACTTAGAGGAGGTATTGCAGGAGTGGGAAGCAGAACAAGGAACCCAGGCTTCTAATGGTGATGCTTCTACTTTAGGGGAGGAGACAAAAAGTGCTTCTAATGTGCCATCAGGGAAGAGCACTGATGAAGAAGAGGAGGTGTGTTTGTGTATGGAATTTGAGCTAATATGAGTTGAGGAATCACCATTTTGTGTGGTGTTCTGTAAGGTTAATTTGTCAGAGGACTAGCTAAATTGAGCATGAAAGGTTGACAATACACTTACTCAGTGGTGCATCTATTGACTCTTAAGTCATAATGACATGCTAAGTTCTGATTCTAGAAGAATGGAGAGTGTATTGTTCTTTCATAGTCTTATTTTTATTTCCAGTGTTAAGCTGTTTACAAATAAAGATGCCTGTTTGGTAGCCTCGTTGGTTTTTTGTTTTTTGTTTTGTTTTGTTTAAAATAAAAGAAGCTTGTGCTTCCAATAAACACTGGTGTTATGTTTTTGTTTTGTTTTTATTTGTTTTGTTTTTCCTGTGACAGCCCAAACTATATTGTATTAAGTTCATTAGGACTTACATCTCATATGTGTATTTTTGTTTCCTCACCTCTAGGCACAGACCCCACAGGCTCCTCGGACACTGGGTCCATCACCTCCTGCCCCATCATCCACTCCAACACCAACAGCCCCCATTGCCACTCTGAACCAGCCTCCACCACTTCTTCGTCCAACACTGCCTGCTGCCCCTGCTCTTCACCGGCAGCCTCCTCCACTCCAGCAACAGGCTCGGTTCATCCAGCCCCGGCCAACTTTAAATCAGCCTCCACCACCTCTTATTCGCCCTGCTAATTCTATGCCACCCCGTCTAAACCCAAGACCAGTATTGTCCACGGTTGGTGGTCAACAGCCACCTTCCCTTATCGGAATTCAGACAGATTCACAGTCCTCACTGCACTAAAAATTAAATTGGACAGAGCTGCAGTAACTTTTCACCCCATCATTATACCAGTGCTCATCTGACTGATGAAAAAGGGGAAAGAATAATCCTTTCTAGATACCGAGGCTGCAAACTAGTTCTGTGGCAGTGGACTAGCATAAGTGGATGTCTAAGAAACTTTTCAGTTCACTAGACTAAAATGTTATACAACAAAAAGCCTCCAGTTAGCCTCCTTTCTAGAGTATATGTTCGGCAATGTTGCTCTCATAAAAGGAAAAAAAGATTTAAGTATTCTATATACCAAGTTTTTGTTTTGTTTTTACTGTATTTATTTTATTGAGGTTCTTTATATTCCTGCCTCTTCTTAGTCAAGGCTCTTAGTACAGAAATATTGACTTAGGAATTGTGAAAACTCCTTAATTTTCTTAAGTTAAGGATGTTTGGCTTTTTTCTTTAATTTTTTAAAAAGCATTTTCCTATGTTAGGAGTGCAAGAATAGCCGGCATTTTTGACATATGTTCATTTTATGCATATTTAAGAAATTATAGCTGCATATCCCTTCTTTCAAAAAAATGTTGCTTTTTTTCCTAAAGGAATTTTAATGTATTCCTTTAAAAGAAAGCAATTTAATCAATTGCAAAGCAATTATATGAAACCACAAAGAATGTACTGAACCTACTAACCCTTTAACATACAGTGTAGGGTCCTAGCGCAGAGTCCTTGTTGAAAGGTCATTGACTCATCATCTATTAGTAATGAGAGAATTGGAAGAACAATTTTACTTACAAATGAGAACTTAATTTGTTGAAATATAATCTCTTTAAGTTCCTTGAAAATGGAGTTAATTTTGAAAAAAAATTTTTTTGTTGTTGTTTCTAAATGCTATCTGCTTTTAACTAGTAGTTGCCTACATTTGGGGACTTAAGAGAATAATTATGTTTTGTTAGTTATGTAGACATAGTGGTTATGGAAGCGTTTATTTACAGTACCCTTTTTGTGTTTGGTTTCTGAACTTAAAATTGCCCTCATACTTAATAATATGGTCTGCATTTAATATGAAAGGTGTTTTCTTGATAAATCTCTATTGTACTATTTGGATACATTTGTGTATTCCTTGCAGCCAACCTGTGTCCGTGGGATTGGTTTAGGGTTAAATCATCAACATATTTCATAAAATAAATTTAAGAATTTGTTCTGTGTTATCTAAAGATGTATCAGTATATTGTCACAATTGTGCTGTTAACTAAAAATGCTGAGACCCTTTTTCATAGAAAAAAAGACATCAAGTCTTAACCCATAATCATTAAGCACTTACAAAGAATATTTTACAAGTGATAACTATTTCAACAATGTGTAATTAGTATTTTTGATACGATGATTTCATATTGGAATCATTATTTGTGCAAAGGGACAGATCGCTTAGATTGCTATACGAGTGGACATAGGCTAAATGTTTGCACATTCACAGTCTTACCACGTGTAGAATACTTCACAACATAGTCAACATCTAAGACCCTAATTTATGTTTTGAAAGATCATGTGTTCCCAAAGTATTTTCTATCACTGGCTCCACAGCCTTAAAGTGCTATAGATTTAAATTCATTGATTAGTTTAATTTTTGATTTTTAACCATTTATTTCCATAAATACCCTATGCACTGGCATATCTGAAACTCTTTTCCAGCATGGGTCCTTTTGTTTCTCATTGGATTATATTAAATAGTTCTTGGCCCTGGATTATAACCAGATAAAGTTTAGCTGATTTAAAATTCTTAATATTCAAGAATTTATACTTATTTTTTCTTTAAAAGCCGCAGGGGACAGTTAGATATCTTAAAATATCTAAAGCATTTTTTTAAGCAGTTAGATTGTCTTGCGTATGTGCATACTATACCTTTACAGCGTTTATTGTCTTGTCTCTTGTCAGTAGACCTTCAGTACACAGTATGTGGGATATGTCAGTCAAGTTGGTCAGCACCAGCAACTGTCCAGCTGTTCAGTATATTGTGATTCATTTAAAAATCTGTTCTATCCCAGACATGGGCCAAGGTGCTGTATCTGAGGGATGTGCTGTAATTTGATTTACATACATTAGAGCACACAGTAGAAAAACCTTAGCTTAATTAGTAATACGACACATGTATATAGTGAGATGTCTTTATTGTGTGCTTTGCATATTTTGTAAATACTTTGCACGTCATTATTTTTCTTTTTTGTTTAAGCAGTGTTTGGCCTGGAAGAGTGATATGCTTGCTGCTTAATCAAAGGATTAAAGATTTAAAGATGTCTATGTCTTCTATTTTTATATAATTTAATGTTCTATGAGGAATTTAGTACCTCTTCACTGTGAAATTCGAAATAATGATTTTTATAAAAGCAAAACTAGGACTCTTTTAATGGCGATTTTCATTAATTTCAGGGTTATCATTTTTGAAAAATATACACCAGAGTGTCTTTTTTAAAATTACATAACTAAAAATAAATCACACTGTGGATACAGCTTATGAAACTAATGGAAAAATGTTGTTCTATATGATTTAATTTTAGTGTAATGGATAAAGGTAAAGGTAAGTTATGATCAGAACTTTAATAAGCTTACAACTGAATAAAATAGAATATAAAATAAAGATGAAAGGATATGAAATTCTGTCTTAATGTAGGCCTATATTCTTTTTAGGAATAGATGTAGGGAGCCAGCCAAGAATGTGACTATCATTATTTTTAAGAATATTTAAAATGTTGCAAGTACAGTCATGTCCCTTAACAACAGGGATATGGTCTGAGGAAGGTGCTGTTAGGCAATTTTGTTGTGTTGTGAATCAGATTGTACTGTACAAACCTAGGTGGCCAAAGCCTATTGAACACTTAGGCTATGTGGTATAGCCTTTGCTCCTAGGCAGTATTGGCAGTTGTAACACAGTGGTAATATCTGTGTATCTAAACATAGAAAATGTATAGTGAAAATACAATATTTTATACACACACACACATATATATTTTATTTTATTTTATTTTTTTGAGACAGGGTCTTCCTGTGTTACCTAGGCTAGAGTGCAGTCGCAGGATCTGGGCTCAGCAACCCTTGCCTCCCAGGCTCAAGTGATTCCTCTGCTGCAGCCTCCCTGGTGGCTGGGATTAAGTTTTGTATTCTTTAGTAGAGACGAGGTTTCACCATGTTGGCCAGGCTGATCTTTAAGTCCTGATCTCAAGTGATCCACCCATCTCTGCCTCCCAAAGTGCTGGGATTACAGGTGTGAGCCACAGTGCCCCACCAACATTATAATCTAAAGGAACACCAGCATATTTGCAGTCACTGAAGTGTTGTGTGGTGCATGACTCTACTTGGGTTAAAGGCATCTAGTTTAGTTATTAAGTATGTTGTATTAATTTTATGTTCCCTCCTGTTAAGATTATTCATGAATATTAATAACTGCTAACTGGTTAACACTGGGATATCAGGATCTCAAAAAGAATAATAATCTGACTTAGAACTCTAAGCAGAATCTATCTTTCTCTTTGTGCATGCCCAAAATAAATGACGAATACATTCTGATTAGAGGACACACATGAAAAACTAAAATGTATTAGTTTTTTTATTTAGCCATCCATTATAGGTTACATCATTTATAAGAAAACAATAAGTGAATACAGAAAGAACCCAAGAATCAAGTTTGAGAAATCATTCCATATTAGAAAATATCTATAAGAAACTTTTGACATATAATTTATGGTAGTACCTAAACTGCTTTCTCCTAGGAAAAAGTAGGTCATGTATAACTTGACACGGCTTAATTCCTTATCATAACTGCCTTAAGGGAAGGAATGTTCTGCAGCAGTATATTAATAACAATGGGGTTTGAGAACTAAACATGTCCAGGAATGCTCCTAGATGTGTGAGTTTGTGTCTAAAGGGCCATGTGGCTTTATCTGCCCTTTTTCGCTGGTAAGTCCTATACAGCTAAGGGAGAAACAATGAAGATCGGAAGTTGGGTTAGATGTTTGCCAACTGTCATTACCAGGTTTAAAGTGGACAATTGTTTATTGATAAGGGGAACGGGTCTTTACAAATAACTTAAACTTTAGTATACTAAAGCAGGAATCTGGGTGAGCAGGGTCTCTAAGGAAAAAAATCTGGTGATGTGAAGTGGAGAGATCTAAGGACAGTCTTCACAATGTAAATGACATAAAAGTTGATGCCTCAGAATGCTTTGTATGTTTCCTTTGGATTATTTTAAGAAAGGTGAAATTTTTATTCTGTACAATTACATCTTATTTGTAAGGTACAGTTACCAATAACTAAGAAAATGCTAATAACACAACATAAGGTATCTCTTGACGGATCTGTCTAGTTTACTACTCATAACAGCTTTCTTATTTGACAGGATTTGGCTTAAAGAGGACTTTACTCCAAAGACCATTTTTGTTGACATGCTGCCTCTTAATCTTTTCCAGAGGAGTTTGAAAACAGAATGATTAAAGGCTTGTGGCCTATATGTGCAAAATAGTTGCCCACCAACCTTTAACATGATGAGTTTTCCAACTTCTCTAAAGTTACTTAACCTCTGTGAGTCTCATTTTCCTCATTTGGGGAGGAATATATAAACTGGAGCATATAGGACCTGCCCGATGTATGTTAGAGGTTTTTACATGTCTACTTATACCGTACCCTTCTTAATAAGGGAAATATATTTTGACATTTTTGTTTGTTTGTTTTAAAGATAGAGTCTTGCCCTGT